TTGGCCTGCATACAACACCGCCAAGTACCAAGGATGTGTGCAGCTCGCTCCCGGCAGGTGCCTTAAACCCGGGCTATCCTCCTCGGGCCACACGGGGGCGCGACGGCGCCACAGGCCGCAGCCCGCCAGGGACCGCTCTGGGATTGGGGGCCACGGCCTGCCCATCACAAGGGCGGGGCAAGAGGCGGCCGGGAGGTCCCCAGGGCAGGAAGTGCGGGGGCGGGGGCGGGGCCTGGGCGTGCGTGCGCCTGCGCGGAGGCCGGCTGCTGGATCCCGCTCGGGGCTGCGGCTTCAGCGCGCGCTCACGGTGACGGCTCGGCGTTCTCCCGCGGCGGGGCGGAGAGGGTGGCGCTGGGGAGCGGGGCCGGGGGCTCGGGGTCGCGGTGGTCGCGGGTCGTGCCGGGGTCCGCGCGAACGGCCGGCGCGGTGGGCTCTCCGGAAGCTTGCCTCCGGCCGCCCGCCCGCGGTGGGCTCCTCCTGAGCAGCGCTTCCTGCTGCGGCGCGGCGGGCCCGGCCTGTGCGGCTCTCCCCTCCGCCTCGCCGCTCGTCCGTGTGCGGGGACGCGTGGGCTCCCCTGCCCCAGCTCGCCACATCATGACATTCGGAGCAGTTCCAGGGAGCCTCCCGATTTCCCCGCAAACTTGTCTACGAGGATCCCATTTTACACTTTTTTACGTGTCACTTGCGGTGTGACAGGGAGCCAGAAAAACGTTAGTCCTAGGAGTTGAGAATTCCTTGAGAATCGTTTGGAGTTTAGGAGTCGACCGTCTCAGCGACTCTAAAGGTCTTGGGGCACCCCCGAAAAGGATTTAGCTTCACAGCCATCACCCCCAAGCCAGGAGTCAGGGGGTGCTGTGCGACATTTGGAAGCCTAAGAGCCAAGCCTGATAACTTTTTTTTAGAAGCCATCCATCATGTCTACTTAGCTTGAATAGTTATTTTAAAGTGCATGTCCTATTTTTGCCAATCTGACAGCTGTTTCCATAGAAACTAGAGAAGAAATAGTAGTTTTCAGTAAGAGTTGTTAAAACTGTCTTCCAGACATCAGCTGTGAGTGCACTACTTGCCCATTCGAAGATGGCACTTGAAGAATTAAGGGTTTGGAATGTTCTTAGAGGCTAGCAATCCAAATTGTTTAATTTTCTCACATCATTAATTTCCTAATCCTGTGAGTCTGCCAGCTCCGTTTGCTTTCCTGCCACAGTTCTTTGAAGAGCACACATCAGCCCCAGTTCAGCTCATTGTTAGGTGCTGTGGAGTGGAGTGTTTGGCTCTTTGAAAATGTATAAATAGATTTCTTCCCCTATTTTTTTTTTTTTAAAAAAACAAAAACATTTTAAGGATTAATCAGTCATTACAGATCAACAACCACTGTTTCTATTCTGGATGGTACTCAATTGTCAGTGGTAGAAATGATAATGATTTTAATTATGTTCCTAGTGTTTGGGGCCTTTGTACCTTCTGTTGGTAGACTATGTTAAAAATGTTCGCACATGCTCTGAAATGAGCAGTTTTCTCATCAGTAAAGCGAGCAGTGTGAATAGTGTGCCTGTCACTCGGATGAGAGTTTATCTTCTGAAGGGCATCAGCAAACCCTTACGTTCTAGAATTGAGCTGTGGGTGAAGGAGGCTAGGAGAACATGTCTCTGGAACTGGAAAGCCAGAAACAACTTTAGAAAGTTTATTGAAACTCAGAGGAAACCATTGGAATTTACAAAAGTGCTTGCTTGGCTTCGCATTCACAAAGTAACACACATTGTAGACATTTAAAGTGCCAGAAAGACCCCTTATCAGCCCCATTTGTCCCCTGAATTACACATAGTTCTTTCCTGAGATTTATTTTTGTGTCCACTAGTGTGTTTTGTCTTTACTAGTATTATAGATTGGGTATGGATTTTTTGTCTTTGTTTGTTTGTTTCTGCTTTGTATCTGCTACAGAGAGGTGTCTGACATGTATCATTCACTCGTATGATGGATTAAAGAATAAAATAATCCTGAACCCAATGAGATATGTGAATGTTTGGTTAAGATACTCAAGTTTTATTAATTTGGTTGGCAACATTTTGGAATAGGCACATTTCACATTGATTCTTGGTTTTTGGCTCTTGTAGAAAGGTTTGGAACACTTGTCAGTGTAAAGGACAGATCCTGTTTCATTGTTGGGCCTCCTCTGGGTGATTGATTGTTCATATCTCTCTGGCTTTGCTGAAGCTTATCTGCATCTCCCACAGAAACCTGCACTCAAAGCCAACTCCCCAAGTTTTGCTCCTCAGATGTATCTGGCCACATGCGAGGGCTGCCATACTGGGCAGCACAGAGAACATTTTTTCAGTAAGTTTTATGCATTATTATTTTTGACATTGGGCTTTGTCTCTCCGGCCCTCCTGTTATACAGAAGAATTTGTTTTAAATTACCTTGAGTAGCTCTGTGACTTAGGCGCTGGCATACAGGCCTGTCCTGGCAAGCTAGGCTTCAGGGCTCTTGCAGTAGCTGTTGCTTTTAGGTTAGCGCATTGTTGTTATGACTCAGAGCTCTGTATTTCAGTTGAAAATACAGTCTGTGGTGGCATGACTCTCTGTGACTCCAGGTTAGATTCTGTTAGTGATTTGCCTTTCTTAAGGATTGGGTTAAGTTGCTTGGAGGAGGGCAAAAGTGAATGAAAGCAGGGTGGCTAAAGAGAATATAGTACAATCTACTTGCAGGGTCACAGAACCCAGGGTGAGCTGGGCTGAGGTAGTGAGGTAGGTTGGCAGGACTGATTTAAAGTGGCCTTTTGGATGTTAAAATCCTAGGGCTGATCCAGCCCCATTTGGAACTTAGTCTGTGGAAGATGGGAAAGTTCATGGAAGCGGGGGAAGGGGGTCCCCTCAGGTAGTTTCATGACACATAATGTGGAAATATTAACTTGTACATGAGCTCTGCAACTGCCTCTGACCGTGAGACTGTCTTTGAGATCATTTGTTTTAAGACACAGAAACTGGAGGAAGGGAAGGAATTACTTTAGAGAGTTTCTGAAGCCCAGGCAGACAGGGAAAGCACAGTGGGGCCTCAGAAACATGGAGACCTTCAGGTGTTCAAATATATAAATGAACAGTCAGTCTGTAGGTCTCCCATATTCCCTCTCTCTCTCCCGCCCTTTTTCCATCCCACCCTGACCCCTGTGGTCACACTTAGCGGAATTTTTCCTCACAGGACTAGCTTGCATGCATTTTGTTTGCTGTAGCAGGAATGATAGACCCTACTGACCCAGGTCTTTATATTCTTATGCTAGATACTGCTTAATGTGAACTTTTCTCTGTGGCAGGTGTCTACTGCTGGCTTTGAGACCATTGGCCATTAGGGACTACCATAACTTGGTGGTCCAGTCCCTAAGTTGAGGCCATGTCCAGACAAGTGTCAGCGCTTTATGACAGTAAATCATCAGATTTGAAGGAAAGGAGATGTATTCATGTTGTTTTTGTAGTTTGTTTCCTACTAAAAGAGCGTAAATATACTTTTCCATATGAAACAATTCGTTTTTTGTTTGTTTGTTTTTTGTCTTCTATACCCAAATGACATAACAATGACTTTTGACTTACGTAACTATCCCGCTGCTCTGGAATATCCTACTCTTTGTTTTATTTTTTAGAGTACATGGCATTAATAAGATCTTTTTCTGTATTTTCCCATATAAACTCATTCTTGTTTCCTTGATCAGAATGCTGCCTCCACAAGGATAAGGATGTGTTTTGTGTTCTTTCTGTAACTTCCATACCACTTAGCCAATGAAGGAAACGAGTTGCTCTAGGAGGATGGCCGCATTGGTTTACTATGGAGCCAGACACTCCTGTTGCCTGGTGACATAGTTTCTGTCTAAATGCAGTCCAAGGAATTATTCACTGGCACCGCCCATCATGTGAAAATACAGGACCTGCGGCTGTCTATGGCACGTAGTGCTTGCTAATGGTCATGGTGTACTTTGTATTATTTTAGATGTATTGCTTCTACTTTTTAAAACAGTTACTGCAAGACAGGAAGCCATGTTGTGCCAGCAGCAGCCCCACACATCTGTTCACTGCATCTCTTGAGTGTGTCGAGCACCTGGCGTGACTGACCTATGCCATCAGGTCTGGGGAAGCACTCTGTCCACACGGTGAGGAGGCCTAACTCCAGTTGTCAGTCACTTCACCAGAAGTGACGCATGACTATAGGAGAAAGCAAGCTAGGAAGTGTCTTGTTAATGTCAAGCTATTAACAGGTTAGGTTTGACGCTATTCATTTTTAATTGGTAATAACTCAAAAAGGGCTACCATGGGGTAATTTTCACTTAGCATTGCCTTATTCACAGAGGCAATGTTATTGCCTTAGTAACACAGAGGCATAGTGTACAGATCATATACAATATAGTCTAATAACCTTCAAATTGTCAACTATGCAGATAAGACTATTCATTAAAATCGGCAGCTCTGAAACATCTTCCTAGGTATTAATTCTGTATTAGTAAAGTTACTTTTACACCCACATGAAGATTTTAAAAATTTAAGGAATATACATATAACCACATAGATATGATTGTCATTACATACAACATAGGTTCTGTGTCCTGTGTGTGCATGTATGTGTGGCAGTGCCGGTGTGTGGAGGCATGCATGTGTGCGTGCATTTGTAAGAGTACTTGGGAGTAAGGTTCATTAATAGATACTCAACAAGTGTCTATACTTCAACAAGTATCTCAGGAATGAGATACTCATCTCCATAATCACAGTATAATTATCATCTAAGAAAACTCAGTACCTGTAAGTCTGTATTGAGACTCCCGTTTGTTTCACTTCACTTCTGAAGCTGATGTTTTCTGTGGAACCACAGAGGTTAGCCAGTGCATTTGTTTATTTTGTCGTAATGCCCCTCCAACATCTATTTGTGCGTATGCCTTCCTGCATGTGTATGCTATAGCACATGTATGAACATCAGGAGACAACTTGAAGGAGTTGGTCCTTCTTCTGCTCATGTGGGTCCCAGGGATTGATCTCGGGTGGCATCAGGTGCCCTAACCTGCTGAGCCACCTTAGTAGCCCTTGTCAGTACCTTTCAGAAATAGTTGATTGGTGTTCAACTAACACACAGTAGGTTTGCACATGTTCAAACCATAGAGCGTAAAGTAGTTATGGGGCCCTTTATGTTTTCCCCAGGGAGCTGTGGTAGTTTGTATTTTCACAGGGTCCATCTATTTTACTTAAAGTCAGGTTTGACAGTTTTCCTTCGATGGTGCTTAGGAGTTGTTCCAGGTGGATCAAGGTGGAGGCGTGAGAGCTGGCTCAGTGTGGACAGGCACTGGGACTGACTTCAGGTAAGCAGGTCCTTTACTAACACTGGCCACCATGTTGGAGACTGGAACCCAGATTCTCACCTACGGCAAGACTGGTGGAACAAAAACTTCTCCTTCCCTTTCTAGGTTTGCTGTGTGTATGCGATAAGGATGATTGTCATTACAAGGAATATAGGGAACACGTGGCTGGGAGGCCAGGCAGTTTGGAGGCATATCGATGAGAAACAAAGCCATAACTCAAGGCCCTGGGGCTAGACCCTGGGCTGCATTTCCTGAAGCTGTGAAGGAGGAAGAGAAAGACTCTTGGTGGTTGATGTTCGGATAGAGACCAGGGCTGTAGAAGTTGCTAGAAGGCAGCCTTTGCTCTTAAAGTGGCAGGGCCAGCATCCAAGTTTCCTTTGCGCTTTTCCGTGTGGTTCATTGAACTTTATGGTTATGGCCTTACAGCTTTCATTAACTTTGGGCAAGCTTGGTCCATGGCCTCAGAGATCTTCTTCTCTTTCCTACCCTTGTCTCATTTGAGGATTCTAGTCAAAGGGGATTAAACTATCTCATTGAAGCCTCCTGCATTCTCTGTGAGTTTTTTTAGCTCTCAAGTCCTTATTTCCACAATGACCGATCTGCTGTAAATGCCACCCACTATACTTTTCATCGTCCTCTTTGTGGTTTTATTTAGAAGTTGAAGGTAGCCTTTTAAAAATATGTATTTCATGTCTGTATAAAACATACTCAGAATTTTTCTGTAGCTTCTTTAACATGTGGGATATAGTTACAATGATGACTTGACTCTCCTTGTCTACTAATTCTGTCATCTGCATTACTTAAGAATTAGCCTCCTTTGATTAATATTTCTTCTCCCTGTGGATCTTGTTTCCTGCCTGTTAATTTTAAATTGTAAATTTTAAGTTGGGAAGCATTGGATACTTTTTGATTCTTGAGGTTTTTGAAGAAAACCTAGGATGTGGCTATTAGAAGCACCTTGATCTTTTTGACTCTTGTTTTCCCAAGCTGGGTCTTACCTGAAAGCTAAGAAGTCACACACTGGGTGTTTTAGTCTTCATTCCTGAGGCCACAACATCTCTCAATGCAGTGCTAATTCTCTGATACTGAGGCCAGACTCTTCAGAGTTCCATCCAGTGTCTGTGATAAGTTTGATCAGTGGGAGCAGGCAGTGCACCCTGCCCTGTGTACTGTGCTCTGTGATTATGGTTCTTTCCAAGCTTCAGGGGAATTTCTTACTCACATGACCAGTTAGTCCTCAGCTGAACAGGGAGGGGCCTGCGCAGACCTTGACTTCTTTCTGTGCAGCTCTGTGTTTCCTTCCTTTGCCCATAACCTGATCCACAGGAGCATCCATGTTCACACCTTCAGTTTAGGGCAATTAAGGCTCTAGAAACTCATCAGGCAGCCAGTTGTAGGTCTCATCTTGTTTCTCATCTTTCAGTCCTTCATTGCCTACTGCCAAATGTGTTGAAACTCTTACTTTATGTATTCCATTCTTTTAAAATTTTTATTTATTTATTTAGTGTATGAGTACTCTATCTGCATGTACGCCTGCACTCCAGAAGAGGTCATCAGATCCCAGTATAGATGGTTGTGAGCCACCATGTGGTTGCGGGAATTGAACTCAGGACCTCTGGAAGAGAACATAGTGCTCTTAACCTCTGAGCCGTCTCTCCAGCACAAGCATTTCATTCTTAAAGTTATTTTTAAGTGGCCGAGAAGTTTCTCTTCCTACATCCTGATTCTACTCAAAAGCCTTATAGTTTTATTATTTGAAAGAACAAATTTGAATTTTTAAAACACATTTTTCTAAGTATCAGCTTTTCTATTCCATTATATTCTTATTGTAAACGGATACAGATTTATAGTTGGTTTCGCTAAGCTGTTTCTCATTTCCCCAAATGATTTCCTGATCAAATAGTTCACTTGCAACTAAAAAAAAAATTTTTTTTTTTCCTAAAATGAGGTGAGAAATTTCAAGTGTTGGAAATAAGAACCATGTAGTGACCCGACACTGTGAGAGTACTCCTCCGGTTTGTCCTGTAGAAGGTGTGGCTGTGGGCTGTGGGCAGAAACACAGGTGTTTCTCCTGAGATGCTTCGCACACATTTCTTAAGCATTACATTCCCAGTTTGTAAATACGCATTTTGCACGGGTGCTTATATCTTATTTTTTGTGTTCTAGATAATCAAGCAAAAGCAAGATGAGCTTCCTTTATGGACTGCAGTCTGCCAGGAGAAACTGTTTTCTCTCTGGAGTGAATTCACTGGCCAACAGGAGACAGTGGAACCCACCCACAGGCTGTGCACGAAGGCCCCAAGCAGTCAATGCGAGTCTGAGGCTCAACACAGGCCGTCAGTGTCACTCGGGAACTTCACTGCCTGGAAACTTCCATTTCTGTAGGACTCTCAGTGGCAAAAACTCAGGATGCCTCTCCAGTGCCCAAAGCAAGGTGCGGGTGGTTACCTACAGACACACTGTGTGGGCTGATTGTGTTTCAAGACAAGGATCGAGGGCAGTGGCTGCTATTCCTGCACTTGCAGCCTCGTGCACTCTGAGCTGCCTCGCCGTAAGAGCTGCCCGGAGTTTCCACACGTCTCCACCGGTTCAGGCCGCCCCAGTCCCTCTCTTGCTGCTCATTTTGAAACCAGTGCAGAAGCTCCTTGCCATCATTGTAGGCAGGTAAAAATACTCTGGGAGGAAAACAGCGTTTGTGTTAAAGTTCTTGAATTTTTATGTTCACATTTGTATCAAGCTATACCAATTTTTAATAATTAAACTTTAATATTTCTAAAACTGTACTTTTAAGGAAACCTTTCCCTATACTATATTCAGCTCAAACTTTGAGTTTATAGTAGCTAGCACAGTGGTGCATGCCAGCACTCGGGGAGGCAGAGGCAGGCGGATCTCTTGAGTTCAAGGCCAGCATGGTCTACAAAGCGAGTCCAGGACAGCCAAGGCTACACAGAGAAACCCTGTCTCAACCCTCCCCCTATTTTTTGTTGTTGTTGTTGTTGAGTTTATAAATGTAAGTTTTGCCAGTCTTGTTATGTGTGTGGTTTAATTTGTTGTAAATTTATTGTACAGAAATATGCTCCTTAAGTTTTTTTGGTAGAGACCTTTCTAAAAGATTTCACATTTCTAATTATAGAGATGATGGGAAGTATTGGCAACAACTTGTGTAACTTAAGAACATTGCCTTTGGATTTTGTGGGATTGTAGGCATAAGAGTGAAATGAAGGACTTCACTCCTAATTAGGGGTCAGACTTAGTCACATTAATAATGCTCATTTCTATCATCCTGTGTTCATAGTATTTTTGCTCTGTTTCTCTTGGTAGTCTTTTATACTTTCTCACTTTATAGCTAAGTGGTTGCTCTCAACCCTTTTCCTTATTTCGTGAAGGCTGATGAAGGCAAAGCTACTCTTCATAAAGTTTTGATATGTTTGCCAAATATGCTGACCCTACTAGTCATCTACTGCCTTCCATACAGACAACCCAGTCTGCTTATATTAAAAACTCAAGCATTGCTCTGTAATGTCTTTAACTCCATATGTTTGATGTGGACAGAAAATAGTTGTTCACATTGTCTCCTAGGTAACATTCATCGTCATTTGTAGGGATGTTTGCTTTGTGAGTTCTAGTTCTTTAAAATGGTTTGATTTTGGTGTTGATTTTACTATTATAAATTTCCTCTTATAGTTTGTTGTGCATGTATTCTAAGTAAGTAGTAATGCTATAAAAGTTGTAATAGGAAATAAGAACACTTCATTGTCTTATGGCCCTTCTGATTTAGTTGCTTTTTCTAAGGCATTCTACCCATGTCCCTGTGTTAGCCAGCCTTCTGACACTGTGATGGAAAAACTGAGGTGATAAGGGAGCAAAGTTTTATTTTGGCGCATGCTTTCTGAGGTTTTAGTCCATGGTTGCTTAGGCCCAGGGCTACTCAGTGCATCTCCATGGGGATGCTTGCAGAGACTTGTCCATTTCATGATGGCCAGGAAGGCAAACAGAGAGACAGGCAGGAACTGGGGTTCTAATATTCCCTTCAAGGACACATCCCAGGGACCCCGAAGCTTTCCACTAGTCCCTGTCTTCTAGGAATATACCATCACCTAGTAGTGCTATAGGCCAGAGACCAAACCTGAATATATAGACCTTTGGTGGATACTTCCAGATTATAGCAGGGACTTTGTAAAACGATAGTAGCTTTACAAAGGTACATTGTAGAATGAAGTCTTGTCAAGGGAGATTTACTGTGTGTGTGTGTGTGTATGTGTGTGTGTGTATGTATATGTGTGTGGTAAATTTTAGTAAGACTTAAAAAATGTATGCATAAGGAAATATTTTTGTCTCACTGTTGAGAAACATTACTTGTTGTCAAAACGCTTGTGAACCTGGCCCACTGCTTGAGAGAAACTTGCCTGCTAGTGTGGCCCTTCCTGGGTGGCATGTGAAAAGGGCCTGTTTCTTCATTTTGGTGCCTCTAGGCTTCCCTTCCCTCATGAGCTGCTGCTTCTGCACAGCACTGCATATTGCTGGTCAGTGCTGAGGGAGTGTCTCCTGTTCCTGGCTGGAACCCTGGTAGATGGTGCTGGAGCCTGAGGAGCAGCAGTGAAAGGTACAGATTCATCCTCAGCAACCCCAGGCTGCCTATCTGGGGACTTGATCCTTGTTAGCTGCTTAGTCTTGGGAATGGTATTCCCTTTACTACCTTTTCCTTTTGCTGTCTTCTTGTGACCATGGCTAGGTTGTTCTCTGTAACAGAAGGTATTAGAGCAAATGAGGTGTTCAAACGATTAGAACAACATTTGCATATGATAAATAGTAGGTTTTGGTTAGTGGGAGTTATAATAAAACAACTCCTTGTTTTAGTGTTTGTCTATATCCTGGTTGGAGTGAGGAATTCAGGTGACCCTTAGGATTTTTTAGTGATGCTTTATAGAACTGATGACTTTTTCATCTTCTAGCTAAGAATTTTATGTGTTAAGAAGCCATGTGTACAGAGAAACATAAACGTTGAAGTGATTGAAGCCCAGCACATGCATCTGAGCCTTGGTGATGATGTGAGTGTGAGCTCACCAGAACGCTCCATTTCTGATCTGTCACAGGGGCATACGGAAATGGTGGCAAGCACTTCCTCCCAACAAGAAGTTGCTATTTAAAGACAGTGTGAAGAAGAACAAGTGGAAGTTGCTCCTTGGTCTGAGTGCATTTGGGCTGCTGTTTGTGGTGTTTTATTTCACTCACCTGGAAGTGAGCCCTGTCACCGGAAGAAGCAAACTGCTGTTACTGGGGAAAGAACACTTCAAACTTCTGTCAGACCTGGAATACGAAGTAGTAAGTAGTAAGAATTGTACTTAACTACATTGTATAAGGTACCACGCAAAGCAGGAAGCGCTCTTAAGTATGGAAGAGCCACTGATTTTAATTTTAGTTTTTGATGACATTAGTAGCTTTGTCACAGGTCTCATACTGGGAAAGGTGCACCATGTACAGTGGGTTTCCTCCCATGCTGCTTGCTCCAGCTCTGCTCAAGTCTGTGTCACTGTCTCCTGCTCAGGAGACTGGATCAGACAGGGTGACGGGTCAGGCAGAGTTGAGAACTGGACTCCTGATTATGTGGCAGGCTTGGCAGTGCTGGGCTAGGTCCTACTTTTCCTTCTTTGCTTTCTTTACAGGCGCGGACTTAAAACAGTCTGTGTCCATCTTCCCCATCCCCTCCCCCTTTATTTGAGACAGGGTTTCTCTGTACAGCTCTGGATACCCTGAAACTTGCTCTGTAGACCACACTGGCCTCAAACTCATAGTGCTCCGACTGCCTCTGCCTCCCAAGTGCTGGGATTAAAGGTGTTCACCACCCCACCTGGCTGCCCATCTCCATTTTTTTGGGCTAAAGCTCTTTGGGACCAACAACCTCATTGGTTTGTTTATATTATTCTAGGAACTAACATACCATGCAAACTAGTGCTTAGTTTTTACAGATCAATATGCTATTAGATTATTTTTATACCTGGAAATTCAGGTGTAATAAATTGCCCTTTTTATAAACATCAGTTTTGGCTTTTAAAATTTTATTGTATTTTCTGCCCTTTTTTTTTCTGTCTTTTTTTTTTTTTTTAATTTTCTTTTTCTTTTTAGTTACATTTTGTTAACTCTGTGTCCCAGCTGTATCCCGCTCCCTCATTCCCTCCCCAACCCCACATCCCCTCCCTGGTCTCTTCCCTGCCCCTTTTCACGTTCACTGATAGGGGAGGACCTCCTCCCCTTTCATTTGACCCTGTTTTATCAGGTATCGTCAGGGCTGGCTGCAAAGTTTTTTCTGTCTTCTTAAAACAGTGTTTTGCTATGTAGCTATGTAGCCTGGGTTGGCTTTCACCCTGTGGTCCTTATGTCTCAGCCTCCTAAGCACTGAGGTTACAGGTGTGTGCCACAACAATCGCTTGTTTGCTGAGTACAAAATAAAGTGGGATTCAGGAATCTTAACTCCCCGAGAAGTGTTGTAACTTAGGGAGTGACACTACACACTTTGTGCCCTCGTGTGTTCTTAACGATGGCACCATCCTTGCATTCCAGGATTTAGTACATACAAGGATGTGCTGGATGCCATTGGTTGAATAAGCGGTGGCTACAGGCTGCTTAGGCCTTAAGATATGTTTAATGAAAATGAGCCCATGAGCTCATCAAAGCAAAGTTATTATTAATAGGAATGACTTTTTGCTATAAAAGTTGTTCTTAGTTAAAATCAGTCTCTTAGAAGAATACATATAGAAATTTAAAATATCTTCTAAAATTTAGTCTTACTAGGAAGACAGATTTGAGAAAAATGTTTTGGAAAGATTGGAACGAACCTTGTAAAAAATTGATATGTATTCTACTATTCAGAGAGTTTAAAATTTGAAATACACATTTATGGGTAGATTTGTATATATTTGTATACTATATGTATACATATGGATCTGTATGTATATGTGTGTTCATATGAATAGACATTTTTATTGCTAAATCTGTTGGCCTATGAATTTAAACATTTTTATAGAGGTGTTATAAGGCACTCTAATTACATAGTGTGCAAACTAGTGTGTTGTCAACTTGACACAAGCTAGAAAAATCTAAGAGGAGGGAGCCTCAACTGAGAAAATGTCTGTATAAGCAGTCATAGGCAAGCTAGTAGGGCATTATCTTCATCAGTGATTGATGTGGGAGGACCCAGCTCACTGTAAGTGGTGCCGCCTTTGGGTAGGTGGTCCTGGGGCGGGGGGCCATATAAAAAAACAAAGTGAGCAAGCCATGGAGAACACCAGAGCATCCAGGGTTTCTGCTTGAGTTCCTCCCTTGACTTTTGTTGATGATGGCCTGCGGCCTGAGAGTTGTAAACTGAAATAATAATCCCTTTCCTCCCCAAGTGGCTCTTGGTCCTTTGTGTTTGTCGCAGCAGTAGATAGCAGATTAAGATATACAGTTTCTTAATTCTTTTAGAAGAGTTAATAGAGGACTTTTTTATTTGTTTATAATCGTTGAATTATTTTTTGAAAATGATAGTTTTTTAAATTCTTACTTTATGAAGTCATGTTTTAATGCATCTTTAAAAGGTTATCAACTTGATTTATATGTTAATTAAACTACATTTTATGAAAATTAAGCATTTGTAGAATCTCCTTAATTTTTTTCGGTATATAAGAAAGAATCTTTCAGGAAAGGTTTCAGAAAAAATATTTCCATATATGAGATGCCTAGACCTTTTAATAAGCATCACATAGAGGAAACGGTCTGCCCATTAGTTCTGAGATCTTAGTGATTTTCTTTCAGTCTGTGTGGATCAAACACTTTACAATTAGTGAGATATTGTCCCTTTTTATAAAAGCTTAAGTCTGTATTATGAATAGGATGTTCTTCCATTTAGTGGATTATGAAAGTAATTCATTTTCTTTGACATTTTCTTTATTTCTTTTGTTCCTCCTGAGACTGGGTTCCTTGTATCCCAGGCTGGCCTTGACCTTATAATACAGCAGTAGATGACCTTGAACTTGTATTCATCCTGGTTCCACCTCTCCAGTGCTCAGATTATAAGGATGTGTAACCACACTGGGTTTATGCTGTCCTGAGGTCCAGCTGGGGCTTCTCATATACTATGACAGTGAGCACTTTACCAATTGAGCTACATTTTCCTTTTTTCATATGAAAATCTTAATGTGAAATCTTTGTCATCTTGGCAGTTTTGTTTTCTGAAATTCTTAGGAAAGTAAAAATATTTAAGTATTTTACTTGCATACAGATTAATAGAAAAGAATAAAATTTGGATTGTATCATGCTTGTACAAAAAATCTTATAATTCATTCCTTTGTGAGAAACCATACTGCTTTTGCATGAACAATTCAAATTTCAGATATTTGAGTGCTTAATGTATGTAAATTTTTGCACAATTCAAAATTAAAATGCCTAATACTCATCACACACCTCTCCATGAAGAAGCATATACATTTTGTAGTGCAAAACTCTTAAACAATCCATTTTTAAAAAATCTTGTAGTGGATGGAAAAGTTTAAAGGTGATCTTCTGCCTGAGAGAGACCCCCGATACCTGACTGTGAAAGAAGTGGTGTATCACCTAACACAGTGCAATCAAGATGTCCCAGGGGTCGCCGAGATCAACTGGGCCATTCATGTGGTTGATTCCCCAGACGTAAATGCCTTTGTGCTTCCAGTAAGTAAATGCTCGATATACCTTTTTTGTTGCTTGCTTCAATGTCTTTAAGTTTCATGGTGGGCTAATTGCTTATATTATGCTCTTCACGTGCAGAATGGACAAGTGTTTGTCTTCACGGGGCTTTTGGACAGCGTAACTGATGCGCACCAGCTTTCCTTCCTTCTGGGCCATGAGATTGCACATGCGGTACTGGGGCACGCGGTGAGTACCCAGCTGACCTGCTGCTGTTGACTGTTGCTTTCATGTTAGCAAGCTGTATTCCTTAAGGAGCGCAGTCTTTTCAGGATTTTTTATTCGTTTAATGATGGAATGTAATTGTATTCTGTAGCTGAAAAAAGGTGCTTAGCTAATTTTGAGGCTTTTTGGAGTCTTTAGTATATGATACTGAATAATTAGTGTTTCTCTTAAATACTGTTTTTATCACTTGTCTCTTTTGCTAAAAAGTAATTAGTTTCAACCTCTAATTATTTCACATTAAAGTTTAAACTTCCATAATTATTAACATACTTGTAATCTAGTCAGAAAATCAATTGTTGGAACGTGACACTACTATTCAGCGTTGAATCACTTTATTCTCACCCACTTTCAAATGATGGCTTGGAATGTTGTGGAAAGATGTCTAAATGTTAAGCAATATGGAGTTAGTGTGGAGTATTGATGACACTTTGCCAGGTTAGTTTACTGAACTTCATCTAATATGTTCCTTCTCAGTTAGAGCTTTAACTTATGAGCATGTCTTCATCATCCCTGGCTTATATATAAGGAAACTAACAGCTAAAGAGACTAACTGTGGCCACATAGGTCGCTTTAATAATGTATGAAACATATTTTTGTACTCATTTTTGATTGTTATTCATTAAAAATGTAAATGAATCTTTTGTGCATATAAAATATATTTTATTTTTTAATCAGAACATGCAGGTAAATATTTGTGAAAGGAATACAATATGTTAAATGCAAATATTATTAACGTCAAATGGAAACTATAGTGTTTATTATTAATCTTCCCTAAAGTCATTTAAAATTCTACCTATTCTTTTGAGGAATAATAAGATGACATGGAACAATGCTGTTCTTTTTTGAAGTATCCCTGATGTCTTTTGATCTACAGGGGAAAATGTTTCCTAAATCTATACAAGAATAAATGTAGGCAATAGAAATCGCATCACACAGTGTTTTCCAGCACATCTCAAATAACGCTGTCGTAATGCGTCAGTGATGAGTTACCGAATGGGACAGAAATTGTCTTATGGATTAGTTTGTCAGGTGTAAGGCCAAATTTGATCTCTCCACTTTTCTCTCTGTGTTGTCCACCTGCCTGTCATTTGTGTGTATTGGGGAGACCTATCTGTCCCTATGTATGTTAGAATCTGTGCCCATGTCTCTGTTTTTATGTCTATCCATAACAAAGACTTTGGTCTGTATTTATTGGATAACACAGAAAACAAATCTTTAAACAAATCTTTAGCAGTTTTACAAGAAGAGGTGATGTTACTGACCCCGTCTGACCCAGAGTAGCACCCAGTATTGCAGACTGATGCTATCATGCCATATCTACATGTTGCTGCCAACATTTATGGGATATTTTTGTTTACAGCTGCATTCAACCTGTTGGCTGCTTTCAGAAAAAGATCACTCCAAAATACACATACATTATTTTGGGCCAGGGCATGGAAAAGTAGTAATTTAAGATTAAAGCTGTGCATTAGTTTAAACTGTAAAAGCTGATTGCATCAGAAACCCAAAGCATAGTAAGGTTGGTTACACTGTTTTCTTAACAGCAGGTTAAATTTAAACAGGCTGAGTACACAGTAAGACAGCAGGTTAAGTACATAGTCTTAAATGATCTTAAGGCATTCTATTATTAAATTGACTGTGGCAGTTTCCACCAAAATTCCAACACAGTTTTTTACAGACCTTGAAAGAACAATTCTCAACTTGATATGAAAAAAAAAAAATCCAAAAACCCAACCAAAACAAAACAAAAAGAATCCTTTCCCCCAATCCAGGATAGCTAAAACAATCCTGTACTATAAAATAACTTCTGGAGGTATCACCATCCCTGATTTCAAGCTGTACTACAGAGCAATAGTAATTCAACTGCATGGTATTGGCATAAAAATAGACAGGTTGATCAATGGGATAGAATTCAAGACCCAGAAATAAACCCACACACCTACGAACACTTGATTTTTGACAAAGAAGCCAACACCATACAATGGAAAAAAGAAAGCATTTTCAACAAATAATACTGGTCTAACTGGATGTCTGTAGGTATAAGAATGCAAATAAATTCGTATCTATCACCCTGCACAATACTCAAGTCCAAGTGGATCAACAATCTCAACATAAAACCGGATACACTAAGTCTAATAGAAGAGAAAGTGGAGAATAGCCTTGACAATACTGTTACAGGAAATGACATTCCTGCACAGAACACTAACAGCTCAGGCACTGAGATCAACAATTAATAAATGAGACCTCATGAAACTGAAAAGCTTCTGTAAGGCACAGGACACAGTCAAGAGGACAAAACAGCAGCCTATAGAATGGAAAATATCTTCACCAGCCCTACATCCAGAAGAAGGCTAATATCCAAAATATATAAGAACTCAAGAAATTAGATATCAACAAAACAACCCAATTTAAAAATGGGATACACGGCTAAACAGAGAATTCTCGAAAGAGGACTCTCTAATGGTCAAGAAGCACTTAAAGAAATGTTCAAAGTCCGTAGTCATCATGGAAATACAAATCAAAATGACTTTGAGATTCTATCTCATACCTGTCAGACCGGCTAAGATAAAAAACTCAAGTGACAGCACATGCTGGCGAGGATGTAGAGAAAAGGGAACCCTCCTCCGTTGCTGGTGGGAATGCAAAATTGTACAACCACTTCGGAAATCAATCTGTCACTTCCTCAGAAAATTGGGACT